TTTACAGTGTTGCATATATGCTGAAAAGTGAAAAAACAGCATAACTTCTACAATAATGGCCCGATCATGCTGATTTTCGAACTTGACCTGCGTTTTATGAATATTCATCAGCTCTGTAAATATAAAGCCAAAAAGTAAAACTGCCCTCCACTTATTGTGTTTACAAGGAAAGTGCACGGCGCCGACGGCGACGGCGACGACGGCGACGACAGACGCAGGTGATGGCAATATGTACAGACACATCTGTGTCTGTACATAAAAATCCATAAGCCTCCCAGCAGTCTTTGATTATATAGACCTTTCAGTGATGCTGGTGGCCATCCAAATGACTGCTGGACACTTTGCTGGGGAAACCCTTGTAATGTATGACATACCTCTGGTACATAGTTGTCCCTCCTCTCTCTCTCCTCTTCTTGCAGCTTGATGGAGATACCACGGACAGGGCCCCTCTGAATACGCTTCATCAAATGGGTCACAAACCTGGTAACAAAATAATACTGAAAATCATTCCATAAATTTAAGGAATTTCATCCATGATTTTATGCTTAAATTAGGCAATTTTGTCCTACTTACAAATTACAGCTCTATTGGTCCCTGCACTTCCATTAGATGTTTTAGACTATGTACAATTTAATAAAGAAGCTCTATGTTACTGACAAAATATTAAGACTCCCATGTCTCATTTATCTGAATTTAAAAGAGATGTTACCCATGACCTTTTAAACCCCCACTCAATTTGAGCAGATTAGATGAAACCAGATATGAGCCTAGGTTTAGAAAAAACTATAGAAAAGATTTTTCTTGGGACCAAACACCTCACCGGAATTTGTGGATTTTATCATATATGCTGTGGGGCAGTGTAAAAAAACGTGAATTCCATACAAAAAGTTCATGTCTTAGAAACTGTTAAGTGTTTTCAGTCAACCTTACGTTCACACTCACGGAGCATGTGGAAGGTCGACTGTGATTGTGAAAACGTTGAAAACCATAATAATTGCTTTGAATTCGGTATTCAACCATTGGAATAGAACTTGACTGTGATATTCCTGTATTATAAACTGTTTAGTTTTCTAATATTTGACAATTACTTAGGCCTGTTACCAAGTTTTTCATGCCTCAACTTAAGCCTTCTTCACTACAGTTTTCAGTTCACTTACCCGGCAATCTTGTTTCTCAAAGGTTTGCTTGGGATAATTGCAATTTCTTCACATATCCTCTTGTTTGTGTGGAAATCGAGTGTCAGACGAGTGTAGTACTTCTCGATGATCACTCGTGCAGCCTTTTTGACTGTTTTGGTTCTCACCCGACCCTAAAAGCAAGGAAACCATGTCTGTCTAAACAGATACGTTCCATTATATAAACCACTTTCTTGCCTTAACGCGAGTAAGATTTAATCAAATAAACTCAAATATAAAGAGTGGATATGTTTAGGATTGTGCAAATCGCATTAGTGCAATTACACTTTAACGAACAATAGGGTGATGGGCACAGATTTTTTACGTTCAAGACAGATTTCTCACCATTTTGGCTTCGGGAGCACGGAAAAGAGACCTGTTCGCACAAAATTATTGCTGATGTGCGATTGGCTAAAATCATTACTACCAAGACGATCCAAATCCAGAGTTTGTGCGCCTTGTACACAGATTGTTCAGTAATATTTCTTTCTGTGCTCATTTTTGTAGGCTACTGTGAGATATTATGCTCAGAAACGACACCATCCAGCTTGTCTCTGGTAGAAAGTAGTGTGTAGGCAAGCAATAACAAATGAGCACGCTCCAGCCACAACTCCAAGCACATTCTAACCTACTGTACATGTAGCTGGAGAGTAGGCCAACGTACTGTACGGTACGTGTGATAAGGGAGGTGCCGGTACATGTACATGTACTGCACGCACCTAACTTTGCACACTGCTGAAAACCGTTGACTGGAACAATAATAGTCAGAGAGTGAGAGATTTTTGGGAAGATTTTTGGTGGACCAGCATATCTTCAATGTAAATCTATATATTTGTGTTAAAAAATAATAATATTTTAATAAAAGAAAGAATTAAAAAATAAACGACGTCTTCTTATCAAACATCCCTTTTCGACTTTTAAATCAACGGGTTTAATTAATATACCAGATTAAGTCAAATCTATTAAGGGAGAATGGATTCTGCGAAAAATTAAAATTCGTTTGAAAAGCAAATCAATAATCAGGTCGGGGTGGGGTGGGGGTGGAGACGAGTTGTGCGTTGGTCACGAATAATTCACGAGGGTTGGTGGGAATGGAAAAGTATTTTCTTAAGTTCTTTTAGACTTAATATTTGTCACTTCTTTGAAAAAAGCGATATTAAAACATGCACATGTAGGCCAATATGCATGTAAACCTCACAGCAAGTATAGTTATTATACGTAGCCTACATGTATCCCCTCCTTAATACATATAGGCCTACCAATATGCAATATAGACGCAGGACCGTCTGGTCCCAATCGTTTGGTACATAGCATTTTCAACGAGTATATAGACGCATAAAACGCTTATGCCATAAAACTATCCCAAAATATATCATTTATCTTTTTCAATATTTTTTCTATCTACAGCAGCGAACAGTTTGCCTTCAGAGAAAAAAAGTATGTTTCGAACATGATCGATTACCTATGACAGCGTTATTGAAGTTGCTGTTTAATAGCCGTGATAAATCTATTCCTCCATTTAATTTTCTTAAATGGATTTCCGGCTGAAAGATTATGTTGTGATTTGTTGAATCGACTTATTTATATTAATGAACCGGAACCGAAATCCAATTTAGGTCAATGCAGCTCATATGTAGATGATCTACTCACGGCTTATCAGCCGATGCTTAACCTTTGCGTTTGATAACTCGTTTATAAACTGTTGAAAACCGACTACACCCAAAACTCAAGCAGGTTGTCTGGATATAGTCCACACCGGGAGACGACAGTGAGACGATGTCTTGTCATCGGTTCTTGGGACGCTGTCTGGGGTTTTTAGTGCTTCTTTCTCACACCACAGGACTCGGGAAAGCACAGAGTGACAATTCAACGGTAAGGACAAGGGTTGGGAAACAATAAGAGCCTCGCGGTCTAGTGTTGATATTCTGTACACAATCTGCATATAAGACTCTGGGTTTTAGGTCAAATTTGTTTTAGAATAATAATGAAACCGGTCACACTATATACTCGTGTAACGAAGAATGTACATGTATTTGCTTATTCAAGCATACTTTTTCGTTTGAAAACCATTTAGGCCTGTAATAATACCGTCTCCACTGACTCATTTCTTAAAACAGCTGACATGTAAACAAATACGTTGTGCTGCTAGAGAATTCTGTGATAAATCTTACGGTGAGTTACCTTTTTTTT